CCAGATGACATGATTCAACCTTTTTTGTTGTTATATACCTGGATGACTGAGAAAACAAACTTTGTGTTTTTGAAACCATTAGTGAAAAGGCCAGACTTCAGGGGTATCTGAGGCAGGCTTGAAACACAAGAGTCAGGGTGGCTTCTGGGTAATACCAGATGGCTAGGCCTCAGACTGACGAAGTCTCTTGGATGAGGGGCGAAACGTTTCTTTTTAACAAAAAAACGAAGTCCAGATGACATGATTCAACCTTTCTAGGAACAAAAAATTTATCCATCCATCATCTTTATCCACTTCTTCCTTTTCGAGTCACTGGTATCACTGGTTCCCATATCAGCCATCACTGTGTGAGAGGTGGGGACACCTGGACAGGTCTCCAGTCCATCACAGACAAATAATTCAAAATATATAAATATCAAAGTAAACAGACTTCATCCTACCATAGTACATTAACCTTTAACTCAACATGAAATACAGACTTCAGTTATTTTTAATCATATTGCTCTAACGTTTGTTATATTTTCAAAACTTAACCTAATATGAAATATACAGACTTCAGTCTTAACCATATTGATTCATGTTTAGTAAATCTTTAACTAAATTTAAAAACCTGTGCAAGTTTGCACAAAATCTCTTCTGAACTGTAATTTATAAACCAAACTGTCTCATTTAGATCTGGCTCCAGATGTTTCTCATCTCTTCAATCTGTTAAAAAGATAAATTACATAAAGTTTGTTGAACAACTTGTCTATAAGTTTTAGTTTAATATGAGAAATAAAAGTTTCCTTTGATCTGCAGCTGCATCAGAGCTTCTTCCATCCGTTGTTTCATGGTGAAGTTGTGGAGCTGCTTTATCGCAAAAAAATAAAATCTGCGTCAAGGAATAACGTACGTTGGATCCATCGTATTAAAATAAACCTGAACCTCTCACCTTCACTGAGCTGTCTGATCATAAATCCTTAGTGATGCAGCAGGAGATGGAAGGAACTCTTCACAGCCTTTGGAGAATCAGCTGGAAGTTTGTTGCAGAGTTCACTGGTCGGCTGCTTCACTTTCATCTTCCGTGAATTTTGTCTTATATCCAAAATACGGTACCGCGATTTTATTTTACGCTTCTTGTAAACAACTGTGTTCTTGTGGAGCTCTGTCCTCCCTTGGAACATTGTAGGATCTGAAATGATTTTTAAAGACGAAGCAGCGGGTTGAATCGTGCCTTCTCCCTCCTCCATGCTAGCAGGCTCCATTCAGATAAAGGGAGCTAGCTAACTAGCTGCTGTATGGTGGCCTACATGGCCCAATTCTACAGCGGCCGAACGGGGAGTAGGAGCGGAAAAAATATAAAACTTAAATGCATTTTTAAATCGATTTTTGGACCTTTAGAAACGATTCAGAATCTCAAGGACTAAAAATCTAGATTCATGGAAAAAACGATTTTTTTCTCTGCACCTCTAGTTCCCACCCTGGAACTCCAGTCATGCCATGATCGAAAGATATCTGAAAGAGCAAGCAGCCATATATTCTGCAGTAACTGAAAAAGCTCTCAAGAACAAAGACATTTACACCCTCATTGAAGAGGAAGTGGCAATGGAGGAGGAACTGATTGAAGTTCTTAAACCTCTAAAAATTATCACAACTCTGATGAGCACTGAAACAAGAGCTTCTGTGTCAATGATACTCCCCCTGAAAGCCACTGTTCTCCACTCCATGGCACCAAAACAAGAAGACAGTTCAGTTGTGAAAGAGGTGAAGATTGTGGTCACAAAAAAACCTGGAGGACAGTTACTCCATGGGCTATGATTTTTTGCACAAGTGCACAGCCCTGAACCTCAGATTTAAAGCCCTGCCACATATCGATGACGATGAACAAGAGAGGATATTCAACCACCTCATAACAGAAATGATGACCGTGCAAGAAGAGGTATTGTTATTGTATTATGATCTAATTAACATTTTTAATTTAAAATTATAATCTTAATAACTCTTTGTTTTATCTCTGTGTTGTTTGCAGTCTGAGGATGTCACCATGATAGCAGCTGAGCTTTCTTCTCTTCAGGAAAATCATCTCCACCTCCAGCTAAGAAGTCTGCAATGACCAAACTCTTCGGAGAACTTTTCCAGGGACAGGTGGGAAGTAGCCAGTCCCTTTTGGAGCAGGTCCAAAAAGAAAAGTTCGTGAGTACATAGCTTCAGGGGACCCTTCCCTTGAAGCTGACCCTCTTCTTTGGTGGAAAGACGAGGCCAAATACAGCCACAGTGCAAAATTAGCAAAGCATTACCTATCTATTCCTCTACCTCTGTTGCTAGTGAGCAGGTTTTTTCCACCGCTGGAGATATTGGCACTGCAACTACATCTATGTTTTTGGCAGAAAATGTGGACGTTGATCTTTTTGGCATAAAACTTAAAACTTGATTAGTTACATGATGATCGTTAAATGGTCTGTTGCTATTTATTGTTCTGGTTCTGACTGTTATTGTATTTATTGAGATTTTTATTAGTATAGTTTATTTTTGGTCAAGAGTGACATTTATTTAAAATATCATCCAAATGGGTCACTTTTATTTATTTTTATACAAACATTGTTTATTTGGCATCTTTTCAAAATAAATATTTTTTAAGTCTTTATTTTGGCCTTTTTTGCACCGAAAATTAAACAAACCGAGCCCTCCTTGAAACTGAACAGAATCAAAATGTGATTTTAGCATACCGTTACACCCCTATATGGAACCCCAGGACACAAGGGAAAAATCCAGTGGCCTATTGAATATGGAACATTTCCTATAGCAACCCTTGAAGAGAGAACAACTGAAAAAGGCAACAGGTCTTACAGGTTACCGGTAAGTGTTTTACCAACTGGTCCCACATAATCAAATGAGCAAAGAGAAATGGAATAAAACTTGAACAGCAATAAGCAAAGACAAAAAGCTCCCCAAAAGGAATTCTAACTTAAAGAACCATATGCCATCTACAAGCACAACAGCGCAAAAAGAAAACAAATAACTCACGCTTCAGAGTGGGTAATGTCATCCAAAGTGGCTGAGGCAGAACGATATCTGAAGACACAACAGTAAGATAATGACACAAAGGAAAAAACACCTTCACAAGCGCTTAACAGATCCTAAAACGTTATTTCCAACATCAAAATTAAACAGAAAAGTTAGAACTGAGGATCAGGATGAGAAACAATTAATATTCTAAGACATTGATTGTGATCCATTATTAAAGATTTGAGGCACAATAAAAGTTTTTAACTGCGAATTTAGGATTTTAAAAATGGTCATTTTATATACAAATGCAGACTGGTCATTTCTACTTTAATAACATATATATATATATATATATATATATATATATATATATATATATATGTATATATAAACTAATGTGACTTGAATCAAAAGCCTCCAGTTTTGTCTCATCAATCCCAGAAACTTTGGTTCTCGTCAACATGCATTTGTAAAGAATTTCTGTTTATCTTTTAAGTGTTTTACAGTCAATGAAAAAAATCTCCTGGCTCTTCTTTCCTGGAGTCTCTTACGATTCAAAATAGGGGTGATAGTGCAAACAGAAAATGGCATAGTTTGACGTTGGAGTTGAACATGGGATAGTTTTATCCAAGTTTTATTTAGTTTTTTCTAGGGCTGGGTGATATCTTGATATTTTTTAAATATGGAGATAATCTCATATGTGATATAAAATTAGACTATCGATATAAAACAATATAGTCTCATACTCTACATAGAGTTATAATTATACTTGAAAATCCACCAGTTTTTCTCCCAGTCTGCGCCTTCATGCTGCCCCTCGTCTCTCCCTCACTGAATACAAACCTGCCCCTCCCCGGCTGCTTGTGTGAAACAGCGTGCTGCAGCAGAAGACTTTATTCAAGTTATAAAGCTGAGCTAAGCTAGATGCATATGCAGATATGGTCTTTGTTGATCGTTCCCCTCTGTCCAGGATGGTTTGAGAGAGGAGTAAAGGAGGCCATCTTTGTGAAAAGAAACCGTCCATCATTAAACAGGGGTGGAGCCTCCAGGTTCAACTGTCCCCCTCTTACAATGCTGTGATTGCTAGTATCACTCAGCCCTCTGTGAACAGTAAACAGCCATCAGGTGCTAATGATCCATTGTTAGGCTGATGGTCCTTCTTGAGCATGTGAGCAGCTGGTTTTGGTTGTCAGCAGCAAAACTGGTTGATCCACTCTGAGAAGGTGCTATTTAAGAGACTGAGCTGAAAACAGCAACTCAGACTGAGGAAGTCCTCAGGATGAGAGACGAAACGTTTCTACATTTTTTTGTTGTTTTGCCTTGTTTTGTTTTTTTGAATGTCCAGAGGACCAGATTGAACTTTTTTAGATTTTTCTACCTGGATTATTGAGCATGCATCAGGATGCTCGAGTATAAAGTCTCAACCATCTGCAGTTTTTGTGCGGCTGACAGGACGCTCGCGTCTGTGGGAGCCTTCACAGTGGAGCCACTGTAAATTCCTGATAGGTGTGAAAATTATTCCCTCAGTGCAGACTGAACTAGGCAAAAAGGCCTTCTCCTACTCCGCTCCTGTATCCTGGAATATCTTGCAAAAAGATTAGACACTAGGAATGCGCGACTTAAACGGAACGGTAGAAACGTTAGAAATTTAGCCTACGATAGAGATCTGTCTTCTACCGGCTAACCGCAGTAATGCTGTGTCTGAAGTAAAATCAGAGTTGTCAGATTTAATCGTTACTTTTTTTGAGTTGAAAACTGTTCGCAAGTGGCGTTAAAGTCTTTTCTTCAAGGGCTAAGTAGTGAAGCTACAAGCTAACTATGCCCGGCTTGCCGTAGAGTTGCCGTATTCTGACGCATGCGCAAAACGCTGAGTTCCGTCGAAAGTTTTTTTTTTTTCCCCCCATCGAAATAACTATAAAACCATGATAGAACCGTTGCTATGCTAGCTGTTGATTTATGTAGATATACATTTTCTATTTACTATAACAATACACTGTAGTGTCTACATAACAATGACTCAAGAGTGCGTTTGCTTATAGCAGATTCTATGCAGACAATTTTGCCCTTTGAAGGAAGAGATTCAAATCTTACGAATGTCAGATTGTACAAAAGTAAGACACTAATAAAATTTCTACTTATGCTTGTTATTTAGGAGGATTTAAAAAAAATGGATGCATCCAGGGATCGCACATAAAGATGCGGAAAAGGCCCTCTTCTAAGTGGTTTACTGGAGCTCGTGGAAATGGGAAAGCCAGAGTAAACTTGCTGCCAATTCAAAACCAAGCGGGCAACTCTTTCAAGACAGACGGTGCTTTCAGTAGTCTACGGTAGCTTTTAAGTTTAATCATGCATGTGGATTTTAGGTCATTGTTCTCAAAAATGTTCAATCTCAAAAACATGCATCGATCTCGAAAAGTTGCTGAACCCACACGCTGAATGTCCCCCCGCCAATCTAAAACTGTTGGTATAAACAGCGCACGGCTCAGATGTGTGTCTGTCTCCCCACCAACATCCCCACCCCACAAAAAAACCCAAAAACTGTTGGTTCAGACAGCGCGCCGCTGAGATGGGTCTGTCTCTCTCCTCTCCCACACCCTGCTCTAAATCTGTAAAACTGTCGGTGCAAACAGCGTGCGATTGTCTCTGTGACCCACATCCCCCTCTAAAACTGTTGGTTTAAACAGGGCGCTGCACAGCTCAGGACATGTCTCTGTCCGTCCCCCGTACCCCCCCCACACACACACACACCCGACAAAAATCACAGACGAGATGAGCGCCCCCCCCATGGCAAGTTATCTAGGGGAAACACTGGATATAAACTAAGACAGTGCTGTAGTCTATGTGATACGTGAGCATACGGCATATAACCACAAAAAATGCTTCGGAAGTTCCGCATAACCAATTAAAAATGCCCGATGATACGTAATGCTCCCTCTATGCTGCGTAGTTGGGGCAACTGGGCAAATGCCCAAGCAAAATATCTAGTTATCTCCCACTTTATAATAAACTGTCAGCCCCAGCCTCTACAATCAGTGTGCAGCGCATTTGTGTGCAGAAAGGAGGAAGGACCCCCAACACCTGGTCAAAAAAGACCTGTGTTACATATTTTTGTAGCAACAATGGACGTTTACGAAGAGGTAAAAAATTCAACCAATGAAATCACAGGCGAACTTTCAATCCAGCCAATCAGCGTCTTCTGGAGTTTCAGCGCCGATGTGCGAAGAAGCCAAGTAGCTAGAAGCAACCTCCTTGGCTTCTAGATTTCCAAGCTTTATAACGCATATTTCATCGCATACTGAAGAATGATATTTGACATTGTGGATTTATCACAGAAGTAAACGGTCATACGATGTCAAACAAAGGCGGTAAGTAAGTTAATCCCACGACTTGTAGCCATTTTTATCATGCTTATTTAGGTAGCTGTCCTGATGTACACTTCTTGTCAGTTGGTGGCAGTAATACACTATAAAGTTTAAAAAAGTTAAATCTGGTCCTCTGGACATTCAAAAAAACAAAACAAAGCAAATCAACAAAAAAATGTAGAAATGTTTCGTCTCTCATCCGAGAGACTTCCTCAGTCTGAGGTGCTGTATTCAGCTCAGTCTCTTAAATAGCACCTTCTCAGAGTGGATCAACCAGTTTTGCTGCTGACAACCAGAACCAGCTGATCACATGCTCAAGAAGGACCATCAGCCTAACAATGGATCATTAGCACCTAATGGCTGTTTACTATTCACAGAGGGCTGAGTGATACTAGCAATCACAGCATTGTAAGAGGGGGACAGTTGAACCCGGAGGCTCCACCCCTGTTTAATGATGGACGGTTTCTTTTCACAAAGATGGCCTCCTTTACTCCTCTCTCAAACCATCGTTCCTCTCTGTCCAGGATGTGAACATCTTCATCCCTGAAAGAGTGACCTCTGGCCTGGAGATGAGTGTAGACCTCAGAGTCCTGGCCTGATGATGTTGATCTTCTGTGCTGGTCCATCCTTTTGGCCAGTGGCTGTTTATTTTCCTCGATGTAAGACTGATCACCCTCCTGACACTGAACAGCATACACAACATTGCTCTGTTTGTGCCGGGGGACTGGATCTTTGGGATGAACCAGTCTTTATTGTATTTTGGGGTTTAAAAGCCACTGGGACGTTATGTTTAGAAAATAAACGTCAGTTTCTCTGATACTCCCTCAACATATGGAATGACCACTGGTCTGGGTCTGAGTTCCTCCTTTTCACCCGTTGGCTGACTGGAGTCCTGTTTGGGTTTCTTCTCTGCTTTCAGGAAGGCCCAGTTAGGATATCCACATTGCTCTAGAGCCTGTCTTGTGTGGGATTTCTCCTTCTGCCTGGCTCCTGAGCTAGTGGGGACGCTGTCTGCTCTGTGATACAGAGTCCTGATGACTCCTAACTTGTGCTCCAAAGGGTGATGGGAGTCAAACTGCAAATACTGGTCTGTGTGGGTGGGTTTGCGGTACACCTCGGTTTGCCAATGTCCTCTATTAGAAACTGAGACCTCACAGTCCAAGAAAGCCAACCTGCCATTTTTTACATCTTCTCGTGTGAACTTGATGTATTTATCCACAGAGTTGATGTGGTCAGTAAAATGTTGGACTTCCTGAGATTTAATTTTAACCCAGGCGTCGTCAACATACCTGAACCAATGACTTGGTGGTGTCCCTGAAAAGGACGTCAAGGCTCTCTTTTCTACGTCCTCCATGTACAGGTTTGCAACAATAGGAGAAACTGGAGACCCCATAGCACACCCATGTTTCTGCCTATAATATTGCTCCCCATATGTGAAGTAGGTTGACTGCAGGCACAGTTTCAAGAGTTGACACAGTTGTTCTGTGGAAAGCGTGGTCCTGCTGCTCAGAGTGGTGTCTGATTTTAATTTTAAACTGACCACCTCTACTGCATCATCAACAGGAATGCACGTAAAGAGTGATGTGACATCAAAAGAGACCATTGTTTCATCAGTCTCCATGATGACATCCCTCACCTTGTCCACAAAGTCCATGGTTTTCTGTATGTGGTGTTCTGAGCTGCCAACTAAAGGGATGAGTACAGACGCCAGATATTTGGAAACATTGTAAGTGACAGAGTTAATCATACTAACAATAGGTCTTAAAGGTACACCTTGTTTGTGGATTTTAGGTAAACTATACAGACTATACAGACCATACAGATTATTGAGCATGCATCAGGATATTTTGAATCACTTTGGCCAGGATTGCCTCAAACTAGTAAGAGAGTTTGAGAAAACAGCAAGGAAGAGTGGTGTCTGATTTTAATTTTAAACTGAGAAGGTGCTATTTAAGAGACTGAGCTGAAAACAGCTCCTCAGACTGAGGAAGCCTCTCGGATGAGAGACGAAACGTTTCTACATTTTTTTGTTGATTTGCTTTGTTTTGTTTTTTTGAATGTCCAGAGGACCAGATTGAACTTTTTTAGATTTTTCTACCTGGATTATTGAGCATGCATCAGGACACTATAAAGTTGTTAACTACCAAAGAACACCACCAGGGATTTGAAGAGCACGATGGTGTCAAAGTTAAGCTGAAGCTGACTGCAAATTCATCTCAGCAAAGCTGTATGGAAAAAGGATAAAATCTAACATTTTGAATGCAATCAATTAACTAAAAACGTCTGAAAATCAGAGGCAGTACGATGGCTCAGTTGGTAGAGCTGCTGCCTCTCAGCAAGCAGGTCACCCTGGCTCAAAACCCAGTCCAGGGGTGGAGTTTGCATGTTCTCTCCGTGCATGCGTGGGTTTTCTTCCGGTACTCCAGTTTCCTCCCACAGACCAAAAACATGCATGTTAGACTGACTGGTAACTCTAAATTGTCCCTAGTTGTGAGTGAGAGAGTGAATGGCTGTTTGTCTCGTTTGTCTCTGTGTCCCTGTGATGGACTGGAGACCTGTCCAGGGTGTCCCCCACCTTTCACACAGTGACTGCTGGACATGGACACTGGCGACCCCCGCGACCCAAAAAGGAAGAAGTGGGTAAAAGATAATGGATGGATGGATCTAAAAACCAAATTCATGCCAAGATCATAGTTTTCAAACAGCAGCAGGAAAAAGCTACAATCTGTCAGAAGAGCACAAGCTCACCACTCACAAATGGGTGTTTTTGGAAAAGATTGCTCTGGACTGGGCTTTTTTTTTTGCATTTAACACAAATTAAGCTCCTCTGATTTGTAAACATATTTCCAAGGTAATTGTAAGATGTGTTACACCAATTATTAGTATCAGTGATGCATGGTGATATTTGTGTGATAAGGAAAAGTCTGACAGAATTAAAGTTTATTTGTTAATTGTAAATCATTTTAAAAGACAATGAGGTTGTTTCATGTTCAAAGAAATGTATGAAGATTGTTCAAAAGGTTTAAATAAAAAAAGATACGTACGCATTGGAGGTCTGTACGTCTTGCCAGCTCTTGGTGAGATTCTGCTTGAATTCAGTGAGTGGACTGAGGCCAAGTTTCCTTTTCAGATCTGAGGAGTGTCTCTCTTTGGCTGATAACACTTGACGCAGGGTGTTGATTTCCTCCTCCACCTGAAAGCCATCAACAGAGAGTTTTCAACTCTTTACAACTACCACTACATCAAACCTTAGATGCTTCCATGATTCTCAAGTCTAATGGCAAAAGAGTAAAGCATTACGGTACAAGAGGTAAAGCAGATTACTAGTATATTTGGCTTGGAAGGGCATTCATACCATACCAATTTATTTCTAAAGCACTTAAAATAAAACAAGTAGTTGTCTGAAGTGCTGTACAAAATTAAAAACAAACAAAAAACAGTAAAACAATAAAAACACCTAAATATATATATATATATATATATATATATATATATATATATA